CTACAGTGACAGAGGCTATGTGGAGGAATCTAAGTAGTACCCCGATTCGTTAAATACTGCAGGGTTCCGTGCCACTTATGGGGCAGAGGGGGTGATGAGATGCCAGAAGCCAATATGAACTGGGCTGTCAGATAGCTCTGATAGCAAGGGAGATGGTGGAGGACATATAAATATTGTTGTGTGTGCACCCCAGCATTGTGAATACTGAGAATGTTCAAGGACTCCAGTGTTGAGCAGAGTCTAGTTTTCTCAAAAGATGACTGGAGACTTACATGTACAGCTTTTTTTCATGCCTATACAGACTGAGCATAAGATGAAGGTTGATTCCATTATTGCTCCACAGACTTCTGTCTCCATCCAGTGTGTACAACAGGAATGGAGAATATGTGACCTTCCAGAAATCCAATCAGAGGGAGAGCACTTGGATCTCCAGATGTTGTTGGATTGCAGCACCTATTATTCCTCACCACTGACTATCCTGGATAAGGCTGGTGGGAGCTGCCATGTCAAAAAACATGATGGGTCACACATTCCAAGCTCAAGCCTAATAGAATCCTTAGCTCTGTACAATATCCTGCAGAAAGCAAAAAATGAGCTCTTTGACTCTTTTCCCAGTCCAGATAAAGAAAATGCTAGCTTTTACACATGCTGAAATCCCCCATCTTTTCCCTTTTTTTTTTTTTTTTTTAATATCACAATCTATGTGTTTTATCTTCGGCGGAGCTTCTTATTCTGCCGCCTGTGTTGTGCTTCTCTGCTGAAACAAGATCAACAGAATGCTACCAGCCGTCAGCTGTCTAGGGAGAAAGCAATCATGGCTCAAGGACACATCACGTACCTGGTTCAGACCCCAGCATCTCCAGGGAAGAGCTGCAAAAACTTCCAGACTGAAACCCTGGGGTGTTGCTGCCAGTCAGTGTTGACAAAACAAGGCTAAATAGACCATGAATCAGTAGTGTTCTCTACCACTACTGTAAGGTCCCAAGAAGTGTTACTTTTCAACATCCAAGCTCATACTGGTTTAGCTCAGGAATGAAAATATTACTCTCCACATTGAAAGCTGCTCATTGGAAATAGTTCATGAGCCACCAAGCGGTGGCTATTTGCATATTTTAGTTGCATACCATAAACATAACGTATGTGCACATGGCAAATGTTAATCATTGTTGGCTTGACATGGTGTACTTGATCTACAGTAGCCTTATCTTGAAATTGTTGCCCTCTGATGCAATCAGATCTTGACTAAGCTCGTGGAAGTCTGGACTCAGACATTGCATTGGTGCCAAACATAATCAGTGGGGTTTTCAGTTGACTTGTTGGCTTAATTTTAGCTTTTTGATCATTTTGCTATGACTTCTTTCTTCAACAATAAGGTTGTATGTTTTTGAGTGATTGTTCACATAGTGTTACCAATAGAGATGGGAAATGTTTGATTTTTTTTTTAATTTTAGCTCCCAGGATCCCACAGCTGGCTGTTTGTATCTCAGAGCTGTAGTCCAGAAAACAAACACCAGTGATTTGCCTTCTAAAGACACCTACATTGTCATGGAAAAATATGCCCTTAAGGGAAGGGAGGGAGCAAAATAGAATAGAAAGGAGATAGTGCCTCTTACAATATTAGAACCCGGGGTAACCCCTGAAGCTGAATTAAGGACAGCTTAAAGGATCTTTTTCTCTTCACACAGCACATAGTCAATTGTGGAATTTGCTCTGACAGATACAGGGATGGCCTTCCCTATGGGTAGCTTTGAAAAGAGATTGGACAAATTTATGGCAGAAAAGGCTGTCAATGGTTACCAGCTATGATGGATATGTTCTGTTCCCTTTCGGATAAAAGGCCGAATGCTCCTGTATGTCGGTTACTGGGGAGCAAAGTGGGAAGGCCCTAACCTGCTCAGGTTTGCCTCTAGATATTTCCATAGGTGTCTGGTTTGCCACTGTATGGAGGTTGTGGACCCGAGATAGGCATTTGGTCCCATCCAGCAGGGTTTACGTTCTTTACTTGGGAGGCACAAGTTATCTGCTATCCCTGGGTTCTTCTAGAGAGTGTATGAATTTGAATACAGCATATGTTCTGTCAGTTAGTTTAGCAATTGGGACACAGAAAGAAAGAAAAACTGTCCTTCCCAGTGTTGTAGATTTTTTTTTTAATGGTAGAATGGAATAATACTTGATTATCACCAGTTAAGCCCACCTCATTGTGGCTGCATGAAGCCAGAGCTAAATAGGAATAGCAAAGCCATCTGTTTTCTCCAACTTTCTAGATGTCCAGAGCAAAATAAAAAAGGAAGCTAAATCATGCAAATCCGAGGATATTTACAAATTGAAAGTTGTGGCTCACAGAATCCTTCTGTTGAGAGCAGATTGGACACACACACAAATAGTGCTGTTCTTTTGTGGGATTGTGGTTGTTTAGTCGTTAAGTCATGTCCGACTCTTTGTAACCCCATGGACCAGAGCACAGCAGGCCCTCCTGTCTTCCACTGCCTCCTTGAGTTTGGTCAAATTCATGTTGGTAGTTTTGATGACACTGTCCAGCCATCTCACAGATTAATTAAGAGCAATAATAGCTGCCTTGTGAGTGCATTTGTGAGCTTTACTTTAACAACAAGACAGCGTAGCTTGCAGAAGACAGATTGGCAGCAGAGAAACGTTCTTGTAATTTCGATGGCATAGAAGGAACTCTATTTGTTATCTATTTGTTCAGTTTATACCCTACTCTTCCTACAGTGATCATGGAGTCCAGGAAAGTAAAATTCGTCACTGCCTCCATATCTTCCCCTGCCGTGAGGTGATGGGACCAGTGGCCATGATCTTAGTTTTTTTGATGTTGAGCTTCAGACCATTTTTGGCGCTCTCCTCTTTCGCCCTCATTAAGAGGTTCTTTAATCTCTCCTCACTTTCTGCCATCAGAGTGGTATTGTCTGCATATCTGAGGTTACTGAAGATGCCAGCCACAGAGACTGGTGAAACGTTAGGAAGAACAACCTTCAGAACACAGCCAAAGAGCCCGAAAAACCTACAACAACCATTACTGATATTTCTTCCGGCAATCTTAATTCTGGCTTGGGATTCATCCAATCTTGCCTTTCACATTATGTATTCTGTATATAAGTTAAATAAGCAGGGAGACAATATATTGTACAGCCTTGTACTCTTTTCCCAATTTTGAACCAATCAGTTGTTCCATATCCACTTCTAACTGTTGCTTCCTGTCCCACATATAGATTTCTCAGGAGAAAGATAAGGTGATCAGGCACTCCCATTTCTTTAAGAACTTGCCATAGATTGCTGTGGTCCACACAGTCAAAGGCTTTTGCGTAGTCAATGAAGCAGAAGTAGGTGTTTTTCTGGAACTCTCTCTCTCTCTCTCTGGGTGTCCCATAATCCAGCACATGTTAGCAACTCTCTGAGTGTCCCATAATCCAGCACATGTTAGCAATTTGGTCTCTAGTTCCTCTGCCCCTTCGAAATCCAGCTTGTACTTCTGGGTCCACATACTGCTGAAGCCTGCCTTGGAGGATTTTCAGCATAACCTTGCTAGCGTGTGAAATGAGTGCAATTGTATGGTAGTTGGAGCATTCTTTGACACTGCCCTTCTTTGGGATTGCGATGTAGACTGAGCTTTTCCAATCTTCTGGCCGCTGCTGAGTTTCCACAAGACGACAGGACTCGTGGAATGAATTATTTTCGTCTTGCGAGGCACCACTGTACAGCTTTTCCCACTCTTTTGTTGACTATGAGGGCTACTCCATTTCTTCTGCGGGGTTTTGTGGGATAGATAGAGTCTAATACATTGATGTGATTTTCACTGGAGCTTGGGAAAGTGTTTTAGTTTGGGTTTTTTGGAAAAGTAACATCCAGACTCCACCCCCAGCAAAGAATTCTAGAAGTTGGCTTATTGTTTAAAAACAAAATTCTTTTCCAAGTTCTTATTCTTCTTTAATGGTATATGCTTTTCTTTCACTATTGGTTTTGTGATCTTCCCAGGATTGGAATCTGGATTCTGCACCATTCCCCGTGTTCCTCGCTCAGAGAAGACTCAGGAGAACACCAGCTTTGCAGAATCAGCCCTGACACGTTCAGACTCTTTGCTGTCTTTCCGCCTTGACCTTGGTCCTTCCTTGATGAGTGAACTGCTTCATGTTATTGGCCACAGTAACAGAGAAGAGGCTGAAGGAGAGGAAAGCCAAACTCCAGCCAGCAGTGACATTGTCCCACCTCATCACCTGAAGGGCAGCCAGGTGGAGGACTCTTTGCCCTGGAGATCAAGGTCACTTCAAGCCAACTGTGAAGACAGAAAAGCTGAGTCAAGCTTCTGGGGTCACTCTGAGACTGATTCATCCTTGGGACACTCTGTATGTACCAATGGGGATGGTCATTCTCTAGAGTTTTCTCAGGAAGAGTTATCCTGTTCTCAGGGCAGGCTCCCCAGCTCTGAATTGGGAGATGACTGCTCTATGGACATGAAAGAATTCAGCCAGGCAACCCCAGTTTTATCTGGCCATTATGGCATGGGAGGTGGCTACCACCAGGGCCTACAACAGCAAGATGAGTCAAGGAGTCAGACTTCATGGGAAAGCTCAAATGTCCATACATGGCATTTGAAAGTTGGACAGGAACACAAGGCTGAGTGGTGCCAGGAAGCAGAGGAAGAGGAAGAAGAGGAGGAGGAGGTGGAAGAGGAATTCTACAGAGATGGGACAAGTAGTGCTAGAGAAGGGCACAGCAGTTCCTTTGAATATGTGGATGAGGAGGAAGATGATGAAGTTAAGGTCTGAATAGCCATAAACAGTCTCTTGTGATCTTCCAGGAGATACCAGTGTTAAAAGGAACAGTGCAGGTGACAAGCTGACATTCTGGCAGGTGTGTGAACTCAAAGGTTTGGCCTTATTTGGAGATTATCTAGATGGTCATAGGCAGGAGAAGAAGGTAGCTGATTCCTCTGCTTAGCTCTCCCCCTTCCCTTCCCTGCTTTGGGAGTTTAAAGGAAAAGATGGAGCCAAAAGGGAACCATACAGAGCTGGCACCCAAGACTCGGTTTCTTTTTCATTGAAGCGAGCATTGAAAGGTGTTAAATGAATTCACATCTTCCTTCATTGGCTCGTACTCACTGACTAATATTCCCATTTTGTCGCTGTGTGTTGTGCCCTGATCCCTTCCATGAAAAAGAAGCTACCATGTGAAAAAGATCTTCCACATCTTGGTCAAAAAATTATAGGAAAGAAAGTATAAAAGGTAAAGGTTCCCCTTGACATTTTTAGTCCAGTCATGTCCGACTCTAGGGGGCGGTTCTCATCCCGTTTTTCAAGCCATAGAGCCAGCACTTGTCTGAAGATAGTTTCCGTGGCCAGCGTGACTAGGGAATGCCGTTTTACCTTCCCACCATGGTGGTACCTATTTATCTACTCGCATTTACATGCTTTCGAACTGCTAGGTTGGCGAGGAGTTGGGACAAAGCGGCGGGAGCTCACTCCTCCGCGTGGATTCAATCTTACGACTGCTGGTCTTCTGACCCTGCAGCACAGGATTGTGCGATTTAGCCTGCAGCGCTAAACCGCTGGTCAAAAAATTATAGGAAAGAAAGTATACTTTTAAAAAATAAAGATAAATCTGCATCTTGGAAGCACGGGGGTGGGGGGGAAATATACCTAATCATGTGAAGTTTGCTTCAGTTGTATATCACTATCCATCCAGTTTATAAGGAGAGAGCCAGTGTGCTCTCATGGGTAGAGTGTCAGCTTAGGATTCAGGAGGACTGGTTAAAATCCCACTCGTCCCTGAAAACTCATTGGAGGTTGCAATGATAAATCACTGCTGAATATCTCACATATTGTGAAAACCCTATTAGGATTGCTGTTAAGTTAGAAACAATTTAACAGCACATAACACACACAGCAAGAAATAATTCTGCCTACCCTGTTTCCCCGAAAATAAGACCTAACCTGAAAATAAGCCCTAGTATGATTTTTCAGGATGCTCGTAATATCCCTACTCCAAAAATAAGCCCCAGTTGAGTGAAACCCCGGCCTCCACCATTGTGCAGAAGAACCAGAAGATGATGACATGACTACATTTGAATCAATATAGATTGCTGTACATGAAAAAGATAAGACATCCCCTGAAAATAAGCCCTAATGCATTTTTGGAGCAAAACTTAATATAAGATCCTGTCTTATTTTCGGGGAAACAGGGTACTGCCTAAGGTACAGATCAACAGCATTGTTCTTCCAGTCAAGATCTACGGACACAAAACTGTCCAAAATGTTTTCTGTCCTCTACTTACAAGGAACTCCAGGTTTGGGTTGGAACTCAGATGGATTTGTTGGTCCTCTATCTGATCCATTTCTTGAAACCTGGGCTTGACCAGGTTGATTTGTCCTTCATTTTACATTCTATTGAGGGAATATAATCGTGTTGTCTGTTGCACTGACAGCCTTACACTGCCACTGTGATAACTGATCTAGAGACTGCTTGTATCGGAAGAAAATCAGAGGAAGATATTTCTCAGGTAAAGCTAGAAATAGCCTGTGGGATTGCCTTACATGCCCATTTTTGCTTGGAAAGGTTTGAAGTAAAACACAAATCCTGCAACTACCATCAACACTGGTCATGTTGGTTGTGGCATTCTGGGAGCTGCAGTCTAAAAGAATAACTTTTGAAAACTCTGTTTTTGTCTTGAAGTAAATATAAGCAGCCAGCAGGCCAGATGTGGCTCTCGGGAGTCTTTGTGCTGACACAAATGCCCAAGTTCCTGTTGAATCTAAGCCCTTTCCTCAGCTGCGCCTAGCGCGGGATGGGGTCAAACTCACTTATGGTGCAGAAGAAGGGATGGCGCTTCTCATGGGGCCATCCTCCCTATTCTAACTGCACTCTGCTCAGCCTGCCAATTGCTGTATGTTGGGGGGGGGGAGGCTGTGTGGAGCACAGTTTAAGCAGGAGCAGCAACAAATGGAAGGTACCATCTCTTTGCCCTCTTCCTCCCTTCTTAAATAACATGCATTCCCCTCCCAGCACCCAGCACCCAGCAGTTCAGAGCTTGGAAAAGTTACTTTAAAAAGACAACAACTCCTAGAATTCCATAGCCAAGGGCCATGACTCGCTGCAGGATTCTAGTGGCTGCCTTCTAAAAAAGGCAGCTTTTCCCATCTCTGGTGCTGAGCATCTGGAGAGGAATGATGAGAGCTCAGCATGCAGGGAGGGGACATCTAAACATCCACAGCTGGAGAGGGAAGGGAGGGAGTATCTGTGTGAGCATTCAGCCCCTACTCAGTGCTCATTGCTACATGTGGCCTTGGAGATAACAAGTCACATACACCCATTCTAAAGGATATAACTGACTCCATTCAGAAAAGCATGAAAAGGCCATCATGTTCTACATCCTTCCAAATTTCCGTTTGTGGAGAGATTCATTTGAAAATGCCTTTGTGTGAAATTTGCTGCCATACAGCAATACTGTATTTTACCACACCAAAAAGTCAGAACTAGGTCACCGAGGTGACAAAATTACACTTGTGGCAGTTTTCACATAGAGATGCTTTCAAAGAAAGATGTCCTTGTGTGAAACATGAGGTAGATCAATCTGAATCTCCTCATTACACACATTTTGAAGAGGGCCTTAGACAGAAAGGATTAGTGCGGAGAAGGGGTCGTGTTCTTCCAGCACAATGAAAACATGAGAATCAGGCTCCTAGTCCAGCTTCCTTATCCACATATTTTAGAAGATACTCATACATAACCCTCTTTCAACCTCTGCATCCTCTACATTTTTTCATGATCAGATCACTCTGCTCTCAGGAAACTAATTAGACAAAAAGCAAACGGAACTTGGATGCCAGACAAACAGCTCTTGGTCTTCAAAGGACAAGCCAGTCATGAAGAAGACATCATGTCACAACATCAAATATGGCTGCCAATAGAAACTGGAATGTATCACACAGTGTGGTTATCCATAGAAAAAAAGCTTCAGAGGCCCAAAACTGTGCATTTTGTCTGACATTTGTAACCCAGTAACAACTTAATGGTTCCCTGAATTTTATTCACCTGAGGATTGTGTGTCAAGTTCATGTGACCAAAGCAAGCTCTCAGTTTGGTGCAGAAATTCAGTCTTCTTCCAAGGAGATTAGAAAAGGGATACTCTTGTAAACCACAATGTATACATCTCTTTTGGACTACAATTTCCAACCCCACCAGCATAGTCTAAAAAGTAACTTTTTTAAAGCTCTGCAGGCTTTTCCTCCCAAGTTGAGTCCAATACAGTGCAATATGTTACAACTCTTGTTTACCACTAGTTGTGTTCAGTGGGAAAAGGGCACACAGTTTTTTTCGTGGAGGCTTAGACACTCTGAAGAATCTTGCTCACCATGTCTTTTTCTTCTTGGTGCCTTTGCTTATGTGGAGTATTGGATCACAGTTCTCCAAGTGTCTCTCCCACATTGGATGCGTCTTGGCAATATGGTACTTTTCGAATGAGCTAGTTCTTCTGGATGCTGTTTCACACAGAGAGGTTTTTGTGGTGAAGCAGAGATTGCTGGGAGATTAGATCACAGAGTTGTCGCTTACAGCACTGTGATTGTTCCCAAGCTGGCAATGGTTGAAGCATGCCTATTGCTACCAATGAGATCTATGTGACAAGAATGGGAAAGGCAGGAAGTCAACAAAAAGGATACTATAAGAAAGTATTGTTGGGGGTCGCCTAGTCAACCACTGTTCCTGCTCCAGGAGTTATAACTCACTGACTTCAACGCACAGCCTAAGTAACAAAAACAGCTGCAGATGCCTTTAAATGTTTTGTGGGCAATACAGCGTTTGGCAGACTTTTAGGATCTATTGGTCCAGAGTTTGTAAAAATTCCTCTTTTATGACTACCAAGTCCCAGAATCGCCACCTAGCATGTTCATACTAGCCAGTGGATTTAAGAACCTGTAGCCTGAAAAGCTTTCGAAGCCCTGGAATACTTGCCCAAATCACTTGCTGGCTTAGATGTGAGATTAAACACCTACTTCTATCTAATATGCATATTTTCTAAAAATACAGTGGTGGTTTATACAAATTAGACCATTGGACTCCCTAACTCCATTTTACCTAAGATGGAAAAAGTCATTCTCCAAATGTTGGACCCCCATCATCCCTTCCCATTGACAATGATGGTCAGAACAATGAGAGATGTAGTCCAACAATATCTGGAGGACCACACCTTCGTGTTCACCTGTCCAGGCAGGAACTGTATAGGTTTTAGACTGTTTTTTAGGCCCTCTACTTGAAAAGTTTGGGAATGGAATGTGAAAAGTTTTGTAGTTACTGTGCTGTGAGCAAAGACCCTTGGAACCAAGAGGAACTTAGCTTTTTTGGAGAAGCAGTTTTTTTCAGGACTCAAGTGGAAAGGAAAGGTTTAACTTCCCACCTCTCTCTGTGATGTTATCTAAATGCAAGAGTACCCGGAAGTTTGGCCAACCCCCTCCCCCGAACTATTAATTTCTGAAAAACAGACATCTACTCTTGGTTTTAGAAGTCACTGCACTTTCTCCTTCCCACCTACCATGGAAGGCCTAGATACACATATTTTCCATCTTTCTAGAGTATCTGATATGCACCAAAACAAAGTCCCACCCGTCTTTCCTGTGTATTCTGCGCTCTTGTTACTGTTCTCATTATTGCATTTTTAATACACATCTATATCAATATTGATTGGTGGTATGGTCATTCTTCTCTTGGGATTGATTTCCTTTGCAGTTTGACTGGGACAACCTTAGAGGTCTAGAACAAGGCCTCTGACTAATTATGTTTCCATACTCAATATCTCCTGTTTTTATGTTATGCCACTTCCTTCTTCTAAGGTTGCCTAGCAACTTAATTTTCCTCTTCTCTCTAAGACTATTAAAATGTTGTTTGGCTTGAAGATGAAAGGATGATTAATCATGCTACCACACTCTTAGGAAGAGGCCACTCTGATTGGGCAATGTGGTTTAATTCTAATTAATAGGTGATGCACCAGAGGGCTAGTTGACCAATAATCAAAGCGATGGAGCATTCCATGGTCCTGCAGAAGCATGGGATGAAGTACTCTGGGGCCCTCATTCTTAACCTTCTTAATTTCCAAATTTTAATATATCCCCCCCCCAAAAAAAATCCCATCCTGCTTCTTCTAAGTCTCAGTCCTCCTCATTCTTAACCTTCTTAATTTCCAAATTTTAATATATCCCCCCAAAAAAAACCCCATCCTGCTTCTTCTAAGTCTCAGTCCTTTTCACCCAGACATCCTAAATAAGTGTGTTATAAGTAACGGTCATCATCGCCATCATCTTA